AAAAGATTTTCAGCTGTAATAAATGCAAATATATTTATAGTTGATTTTCACTCCAAAATATGAAAGATCATTATTGGCTCCTGCGACTATGTCTTGGGCTCTTAGACTAATTGATGAATTACACTTCATTCTTATGGCTCTTGTATCCAAATGTAAATACAATAACATATCTTTACCTTTTTTTTTTTTGCCAATGTTCACATAGATAATTTGATGCCTTGAACCAGCATAGACATTGTTGTTCTTCATAGTGAAGATACTCCCTAATGCATTGGCTACTAATGTGATGCTTCTTACACATTGTTTTAGCTGGTGCATATAATACACTAATTGTAGTGAAATAGTGTTTTCATGGTTTGAATGTAAATGTTAGAGAAGCGGACCGACAAGGATTATGTAATTAATGATATGCCCTGTAGTCCTCTTTCAGTGACTAAGTACTGCCATATACAATTGGAATTGGCTAGTGCTACTGCATTCTACTTCAAATACACCTTGATTGTGGGTTAGGGTATATTTTGCATTGCAGGTATTATTTTTATAACTAATGGGTCTTATGTCAAACCCATTAAACAGATATCAAGACCAAACATTCAGGCACTGAAAGTATGTTTAAGCAATCATGAAATATGGACAAGAGAAACAAGGTATTGTCACTGGCATTTGTATTACCATAACAATTTACGAGCAGTACAAACTGCATGTCTGATGTGGAATGTGTTCTGTTGTGCGCTCATTTGTTTTTAGATATTGTACTATTTATGATGACAGATTTTGATGAATTTGTGTGTTGCAATTTTCCTTGTAATTTGTATAATATGTAAATAGACTGTGTACTTTTGTATGTTTGTGTGTCACTAACCTGTTACTGTACTCATGTTAACTTTTTACCTATGTAAAGAACAAATTATGGATTAGGGAGCCGGTTGGCCGAGTAGACAGCACGCTGGACTTGTGATCCTATGGTCCCGGGTTCGATCCCGGGCGCTGGCGAGAAACAATGGGCAGAGTTTCTTTCACCCTATGCCTCTGTTCCCTAGCAGTAAAATAGGTACCTGGGTGTTAGTCAGCTGTCACGGGCTGCTTCCTGGGGGTGGAGGCCTGGTCGAGGACCGAGCCGCGGGGACACTAAAGCCCCGAAAGCATCTCAAGATAACCTCAAGATAGTACCCAAGGTAGATAAAATGTAAATTGTCATTTGATGATGGCCACATTGCACTAGGTGACTAGAAGATGAACATCATGATGACCTCATTTTGAATGTTGACACTCAGCTTTCCATCAAGTGCCTCATCTGCAATTCTCTACAGATGAACTGGGTATGAGTGGCTGGTGGTGAGTTAAATGTGAATGATTATAATACAGTAATTTTAGGTTTGTGTGGCTGTAAATTGACACCACACTTCCATGAAAATAAACATTCACTTCATCTGGGCTCTAGGAGACTCATACCGTGGACCCCAGCATGTGAGGCCAAAGCTGTATCAACTGAGCTATTGAGTAGTCTTATTCATGTGTCATCCACACTTACTTCCTTGAAAGTGTGGATGACAATTTAAATGATGTGGGCGTGGATCCCTAATTCCTCTGAGCTTCAGTAATAGTCATATTCCAACTTTTACCCAGTTATTCATTCCTCCATCCTTGCCCACTGGCAGAGTTGTTGGTCTTCTGTTACTGGTAACAAACTGCATACTATTAAAGAGTCGTGTGTCCCTGTGGTCTTCCTCCAACCACCATAACCAGTGGTGGGAAACGGCTCTGGCTAAGTTACGTATTGGCCATACACGTTTAATTCATTGTCACTTAATGGGGAACAGCCCTGCTCCTTATTGTCCAAATTGCATTGTTCCTCTTACGGTCATGCACATTCTTGTTGAATGATCTGACTTCCAGGTCATTCAACGTGTCTTACTTTCTGACCGTCCCTCGGTGTCAATTGTCCCTCGATAGAATTCTTGGTAAATCGAATACTTTTGATTTCGTTCGCCTTATGCGTTTCTGTTCTCGTATTGGCATCCTTGGTGACATTTAGCACCCTCTGATTACTCCGCACATTTGGTGGTGCTACATAGCCTTCCTGGTTTGGTGTCTTCCTTTGATAATTAATTATCATTTGAACATTTGAATGAACATTTGTTCAGTTGTAGTCAGAGAAAGTCGAAAATTCCAGTTTGGCAGCAGGATACTGCTTCTGGAAACTTTCATTATTAAGACTACTTAATAGCTCGGTTGATAGAGCTTCGGTCTCACATGTGTGGGGTCCATGGTTCGAGTCTCCTAGAGCCCAGGTGAATGGATTATGTAGTTGTTTATTGTTGTTCAGTATATTTACATTTCTATCAAATGCAAATAATTGCTGTTGAATATTTATATTTGTACAGCAACATGTTCCCAACTGTTGCTGTTTTGAATGGTACAAAGATGAAGATTGCTCAAAAAGTTATCACAAATTGTACTGAAATGTAATATATGTGCATCCCCAAGTGAACCAGACTTGCATAAGTCGAATTTACCCGAGGTCCACCATCTACCATCTATTTAGTGGCCACGGCAACATAAAGCCAGTGACTTTTCAAAGTTTCCTCAATATTTCCTGAGGATTTTTCTAACTCGATTTTGAACAAAAGTAACGTCTTGGCATTTACAGCTTCAGTGGGTAGGCAGTTCCCTGAGTTTATAACCCTATTGGTGAAGAAGCATCTCCTATTTTCTATCCTACATTGTGACTTGAGTTTGAAGCTGTTGCCCCTTGTGTGTGTGTTACATGGAACCTTTTAAAGAAATGGTCTGAATTAATATCCTTCATTTTATTCAGTATTTTAAAAGTTTCAATGAGATACGTCCTGTCATGTCTGGTTTGTAGTGTTGCAGTTCAGAGACTTGTACACTTAAATCACTACCATCTTTTCTTTCAAGTCAAAAGTTTGTGACTATTCCTAGGGTTTGGTTGCCTTTTTTTTCTTTTTTGTTACTACAGCTCCCACTTGTTATGCAACTTTCAAAGGCTGGTGGATTCAGACTCCCAGGTCCTTTTATTTTGCATGGTAGTGTTGTTGATTTGATAGTTGTGATGTGTATTGTTAGTATTGTTATGCCCTACATGCAAAATCTGGCACTTTTTAATATTAAAGAGGCATTTTTAAATAATAAAGAGCATTTGCCAATCTACCAATCATTTGTGGAGTTAATGTAGATCTCTTCATAAGGTCTCAATATAATTTTTGCTTCTTACGTTACCATAGATCTTGGTGTCATCTGCAAATTTATTTGTCAGTTTATTTCATTTATTATGCACCTATACCCATTCTGTGTGCAGTAGTGCAAAAGGTTACAGAGGCACATATTGGGTTCAGGAACTGAACCCCAAAATTCATTCAGCTAAGCAAGTTAGGAGTCTTGACAAGCTAGTTACGTGGTTTAATGTATACTGGTATTAGTATTATATCAACAATGGGTTCGAGAATGACCATAATAAGTACTGTACAGTCTCGAGCTAAGTTGCTTTACATATGTGATGAGATAGTTCATAATTGATTTGCCTATCCTGCACACCACCCCTCATCCAGTGGGCAGTGGTGGAAAAATTACAACCACCTACATTTACTAGCTACAGTTAGCAAACTGTGGACAGTTAGCTAAAATTTCTGGTAGTAGATCACTTTGAATTATGGTAAATATTTACACATTTCTTGAACATTTGTTACAGAGGCATCTTTAAGCTTGTGTATCTTTTCATACTCCATCACAGTGACAGAGGTTTGTGTGAATAATTTTGCTGACAATTTACATTGAGTCAGGTCTACATCAGCAGGTAATGCAAATTTTGAAAGATACTCATAACCGAGTAAAAGCCAAACAGTAGTAACATCTAGATGGAACTGCTAGTGCAGATTTCACTTTGCCTCAGTTCTACAAGGTTTAGTTGAAGTTCTGCCAAGTTCTCAAGTTGCTTGCAGGCAACCCAAGGTTATACTCGACGCCTTCTTTGAAGGCAGATTCTTTGGCTAACTCATCAGCTCTATCAACTATTCAGAGGCTAGCATGATGGAATCCACATGAAATAGGTAGTTACAATCATTAATAATTTTGTTATATTTGTGTTTAGCTTTAGACATGAATGTTACAATTATGTCTTCTTTAAAGAGTTGAGAACAAATAAGGGTGATTCACTAACTGTAAGCAATTCTTTATCAAGTTAGGAGTTGTACACATTTCAATGCAAGAAGTATGGCAAATAGTTCAGTCTGAAGGGTAGAGGTCATTGTTTATATGGACTCCCTACTCGAAACATAAGCAATCCCCCATTGCTAGGACATCTGCACTTCCAGCTACACTTGTGGGGTGGTGTAAGGAACCATCTGTGTTTATGGTTGAGAATGCTGTGTAAAATCAATATGGCTTAAGCATTGAGCATTACCTAAAGATGACACTTGGGCCGATCTTTTAATTTGCTTTTTGAGTGGAACGGGAGAGATTCAAATTTGAAAGGGACCTTGTGTGATAAAGTAAATCTAACACCACAGTCTCCTCCCTACAGAAAGACTGCAGGAAAATGATTAGTGTGACTACTATTAACTTATTTCTAGTTATGGGACATTTATCTTGCCAATCATTGCATATTTAAAAGTTAAATGATTTGTCAATTATTTTGTTTTTCTCCACTGTTAGAATTTTCATTAACCCTTACACTGCTTCAATTGCTGTCTGCTATTTGTTTCCCCATTTCATTTGTTACCTAATTTAGACATGCCCACCTTGATTGAATACTTTTAGTAGATGCATCACCTAGGAGAAAGCAATAAGCGAGTCTTATGCAATGCACGTCTCCTCATAGCCCAATAACATTCAATCAGGTTTTGGCACCACATCAGAAAAAAATGTTTTGCAAACATCTTATAGTTTTGTTGATATAATAATTAAAAACCATTATCTTGAAGGCAATATACTGTACATTCAAGGGTTCGGAGTTGCCTTCATAAGGATATGTAAAGAAGAAACCCATAAAAACCTTTATTTGAATTATCACAGGACAGTCCAGGAAAATGATGGCAATAAACAATAGGTACAAAACTACCCAACTACTATTCAACAATAAAGTAGAAAGGTACCCGAGGGAGCTGTCAACAAAAGTCAAGACTACGAGGTTTAAGCAAGTACAGTACTGTACAATTAAGCTACCTTGTCAAGCCTGAACACCGAAACAAAAGTTATGTCTTGTTCGCACATCTTTAACATTTTACTGGCAGGTTATTTCTGCAAAGTTCTTAAGACCTTTGCCTAGTTTCCTCTCCTGAGAGTGCAAACTTTATGCAGCCTTGCAGGGTACTGGCTGATCATTTCTAGATTTGCAGTCTAGGACTTGTGTGTTTAAAACATATTTCTCAAAATACAGTTAAGAAAAGAAAACCCTATTTCTAAAATTGCACCACTGATAAATACATTAAAACCAAATGTAAATATTTGAGTGAACATAGTAAATTCTAAAATTTCCTAACAGAATTAAGACAAACATCACAGCAAGAAAAGCTAACAACTGTTTATTACAAACTGCAAATCCTCTGATACAAAACAGTACTTAAAAAAAAAAAAAGTTTCTAAATTGCCTTTATCGAGACAAACCCCATGAATTAAAGCAAAAATAAAAAGCAAATGTATTCAGGCAACATACTTTAAAAGTAGCTCCATTTTATGCCTAATAAATAATACAATACATACAAGCACTAAATAGAGATGCAAGTTTGCATAATTAACAAATTAATGATAGGGCTGCACCAAAATTTGGGCTGAGCTTATTATGGATGTCCTGTAGGATTTGTGTGTGTAATTACACCAGTGTAATTACAGGTTGAGAGCTATGGTCGTGGTCTTGCCTTCCCAGTACTGTCATATGACGCTTTGAAACTACTGTACTGACAGTTCTGGCATCCACCACCACCTCACTTTACCTGTTTCATCTACCACTCTGCAAAAACTAACTTTCTAAATTTTTTGAGTCTTTTTCTGTACTAAAATCTATGACCTCTTTGTTCTTGAAGTTTCAGGTTTCAAGAATATCAATTTTGTAAATTCACATTACTATTTTGCATGTAGTGATCATGTTGCCTCTTTTTTCCATCTTCTAGCTTTGGCATACTAAACACCTCTAACCTCTCCTCGTAGCTCTTGTCTTTCAGTTCCAGAAGCTGTTCTGTTGCATGTGTTTGCACCTTTGTGTGCACGTGTGTTGGAGGGGGGAATGGGGCTTGTCAGCTTATTATTATAGCTATGAAGCAACTGTGCACTTTATCACCTATAGCCTTGAGTAGCACCCTCAAGAACCTGACTAAGATTGTGTAGGAATACATCATAATTGTAGAAGACACTTCTAATTACAGTAATTACACCTGGTAATCATTTGATACAGTAGTTACACCTGGTAATTACAATTGATTTTCCACATACAGTACTAGCAGGCTTTGCTAAAAAATTATACTACTAATACCCCACACTAATACCCAAGATGAGAATTGCACCATACAGATACAATGTAATGCTATAGCAATGTGTCGGTGAAAAATTTGTGACGAATATTCATAATGACAATTTTATAATAGCCATTTCTTAAGTTTATATGAAAACCATAAATTTAATCTATTCCAAAATTACTCAATTATACTCAAATTTTTAGTTATACTTGGTTAATAAAGAAATTGCATACTTGAAACCATGTTTTTATTAAAGAGCTATTGACTCCCCTGAATGTGCAGTCTAATTTGAATAACAAAAAACTAACTTCTCTGTTTCCACACTTTTCTTAAAAGGAACTGTACAAAAACTCTCTAACTTTCCCTTAGGTAGATAGGATTTAGTTGCCTTGGATTGGTGTTGGGTTTATGGTCTATCAACTGCAATAGGGTTATTAAGACCACCACAGTGTCTTACTGACCACCCAGCAAGTATACTTTACTCCTCAATATAGTTAGGACTAAAAGTAAACTGTGTACATATCCATCAGTTGCCATGATAGGTGGTATTTCTGGTCGAGCTTGAAATACAATGATTGTAGACTATGCTCTCTCTCCATAATTACCTTACCTTGATTGCAGACAACTATGTAGTTACATATTGAGCAATTGCTAACTTTTCATCAAGTTCAATTATTTTAATTTAATATTGAAAATAATTTACTCGAACTCTTAAATTTAGTCTTGTATAATGAAGTGAAATGTATATCAGTAGGAGAGCCGAGTATGAAATTCAGAGTGCTTTCTCTCTCTGAATCTTTGAATAATGTTATTCCAAGACATCCTCAGTTCTGGATGTCTCCAATTTGTCAGACTTTACTGTTGCCAATATAATTCTAAGGTATATACTTTTGTCTGTAATATCTCGTGGTTAATGTCAACAATATCTTAGAGCAAATTTGTGCATGTCTTATGGGCTTATTTTTCTTTCAAGATTGTCTTCTGCTATACTGCTATCATTCTGGTCCATGTAGATTTATTGTCCTCCAGGGAGCTTGAGGTTAACATTTTCATGGGAGAATACAAGACGATCCTGCATGTCTTTGGCCATGTCATCGAGAGAGCTCTTGCTTGAGATGTTGGAGGAGGTGTTAGATGAAAAGGTGGAGGAGGAGGAGGACGACGAGGACATGGAGACCTGTAGGCAGGAAAGAAATCTCAGAAGCTGTATGTTGTTAGATCTAAGCACTTTAAAGAAAACCTATTTTCAACTTGAGTTTTCTATACATACACTGTACTGTATATATCTACACTTATCTAATTATAAGCAGATCAGTATAAATATAATGATGCATCTAACTTCATTTAATTAATCCACAGCAACAATAATTTGCCTAATTTCCTTCAAGCAGTCACTTGTTTTGTTTTGACATGCTTTCTGGAAGGAATTTCAGTTTTTGTGGTTGCCCTTTTATCCCTTGCTCCCCTTACCCTGTAAACTGAGCCAGGTAATAGTCCTGGTTCCCAGTAGGTTATAGATAGGCAAGGCTCAGCCTTAGTGCAACCAGAGTTAAGCTCAGGAAAATACTGAGGGGGTCTATGCCAATTAATTTTGATACATAGTCCTCTATAATAAAAACAATATGCACTGTAAAATTTATTTTTTTAGTAACTATTCTTGCTTTAGTAACTATTCCAAATCTTGCTACCTGGTCTATAAAAATTCCTTAGATTTCTATACTCGTGCTACAGATAACTTACACAGCTCACAAACTCATAAAATCTGAAATCAACTGCCAAAATTTTGTTTACTTACATAGGATTAGACCATATCAATACTATAAATATATCAGGATCCTACTGCATGTAAATATTACATAGCATATTTGAGAAGCTAAATGCATTCAGTATTGTAAAGATGTAAGTACTGTACAAATAATACAGAAATTAAAATTATGTATTATGCCAGTTTCAAGTGCAAATGTATATATTATTAGAAATTAAAAAGCACAATCATTTTAAAAATTGCAAGCTAGCATTTCTAAGTACAGTAAGTAATTAAAGAGTTTTGACTGTCTGGAATTCCTTCTCATGAGCTAAAAAATATATTTAAATGTTAAATTGCTTTTATTAAAGTTCTGTTGCAATGCAGAACTTCAAGCTTTATAATTAAAAACAAATAATATATAAAACAGTCTGATTCAGAATTTGTAAGTCTTAAAATGAGTAAAGTTTTTAACAAATAAATACGTACTGGCGTGCTCAGGAAATAAATCTTAAGTGCATTAAATTATCAAAATTATCATCTTTCAGAAATGCTCATGGTTATTAAATATAATTTTTACAAATTAATATTTTTGCTAGCAGTAATGTTTTTTAAGATTCACGTTTAATTAATCTTAAAGGGGATTTTATTTTTAATCTCTTAGTACATTGGGCAAAGAATGGATTACAGAATAGAGACTATATTCAGGGATGCCACTTAATTATTGGAGTCATCAAACTAAATGATGCAGAAATTCCTTAGCCTGATTTATTAAAAGTATCCAGTGGGGAGATATATTTCCTTTGCACATGCCCACTAAGGCTTGCATTAAATCATTAGAGTACGATCAAGTTTGAGCAAGACTATGGACTGACATTTTTTATATCGAGTAATATCAATGTATAATACCTAAAAAACAAAAAATTGTCTACTGCTTAATTAGGTTAGGTTTCTTTGGTTAAAACATAATGCATTCTACCGCAACTCTCACTGATGTTAAACACTGAGCACTAGCCAGCAAAAAGCAGCAAATGCCAACGCCAACCACACTATCAAATGCAGTAATCATGAGTCATTTTTAAATAAATTACAATAACTATGTAATTAAGTTTCACTTTCAGGAATATTTTGGTAATTTTTTTTAAATACAGTATTTTGATGGAGTGGCATTGTAATGTCAGGATGTGCTCTGACAAAAACAGTTCACCTAACCTTAATAAATCCTAGTGTTAATATGACTCCTTCGCCAGACTCTGAAAGTAAGCATATTAAGAAACCCATGTGAAATTTTTATATGAAAAACTCCAATAATTAACATGATTCCCCCGAATTAGAATTATACTCTTCACATTTGCACAGAATATGAAAAACTGGAAATTTATGGATCATGGAAACAGATTCATGCCTATTGAAAGGAAAAAATTCTGGCACTCACAAAACACAAGAGTTCTAAAGTTTATACAATATGGTAGTAAGTATATACAGTACTATACTGTATTCTAATTTAGAAAATATGAAATAACTAATTTTAGACAACAAGAAGCATAATTCTGACCTTCAATTTAAATCTAAATTCTTACCTAACAGTTAAAAATGTGGATTAAGAAATTCTAATTTAAAAAAAATTTATGAAAATATATAAAATGACCTACCTTCACAAAAAATTTAGGCATTTTTTATTTTTATTTTGTGGAATTGTGGAAACAAAAAATCTTACCTTCTTGACCGAGCTTGAAGTGACTGAAGAAGAAGATTGTTGGACTGAAGAGGAAGACTGTTTGACCGATGATGATACCGACTGCTGTACTGAAGAGGCGGTTACTGCTCCAGAGGGCTTGGCTGCATCACCTTCCTACAGAAGAAAACACGACTACTGGTTTGTCTCCATTTTTGTCAGACAGAATCATCATATTTAATAAAATCACCTATTTATCTTTGAGGTGCCAGATACCTCAATATTTCATCTGCATCAATATTAATAACTGAAGATAATTTCACATACTAACAGTACTACACACATACAAAAATCTAAGAGCAAACTACAAATACACTGATTACAACTAGGATTTATTCAAACAATATTTCTGAGTTCTGTACTAGAAATGTTTTAACACAGCCAACTAGAATAGCTTTCAAGATATCTGTGCACTGCATCACATTCTTGTAACAGCAATATTCTGTAGCTGTGTGAGCACTAATAATTTGCCTACTGTACATGTAAAACTGTTGTGAAAGGCTAATGCATCAGGTTGTGGACGATTTTGATACCCTATGTATTTGAATGTAGTTTATGCAACACTACAGCAATATTGTAATCAGTTCAAGCCATGATGAATTTCTTTAGAATATATGAACTCCAGGAAAAGTACTCTGGTACATAAATTCTCAGATTTAGTTCTCTGAAAGATATACTGTACAAACCACTTAGTCATGTGTAATACTAACTAATGCATTTAGAGATATAATGAAAAATTTTTGTTCATTAGTCAGACATACCCGCTTTGGTGCCTTTACAGTAAGGACGCCATCCTTGGAGAGTGCAGTGGAGATCTCATCAATGTTAGCATTATGTGGTAATGTGAACTCCTTGTAAAATGACTTGGATGATGTAGAAGTGCCATCTTCGGATTTCTGAAAGGTTATACACTGTATAGTATACATATAAAAAGTGAATTGTTAAAAATAAGAGTTGCTGCTGTGCACCTGTGTTGTTCATTTCCATTTCTTTTTCAAGAAGTCTGGTAGGTACTGTACATCCGAGTCCCCATAGGCTAAAAAATGGGCATTCCCAAAAATACAAACAGTTGGTAGGTGAACAAAGGCAGGTATTCGGATATGTAGCCAAACATTTTGTCATGCCCTGAAATTGAACCTGAAAAAATTCTGAGCCAGCTGCACTGCCTATAACTGCAAATGAAATATCAGCAATAATTATGAATACAGTACTGCATTTTTATTTTATTACTGTACTTTACATTTGAGTTCAGGAAGGGACATCTCAATAGTTATCCAAAATTGAAGGACACAGGAGAGGTGGGCTTCAAAATAATCATCATGAGAAACAGGGCCCTGACCCAACAGCATATTTAATTATTGTAAGTAAGTGTAATTACCCAAGTGTAGTTACAGGATGAGAGCTATGCTTGTGGTGTCCTGTCTTCCCAGCACTCTGTCAAAATGCTTTGAAACTACTGATGGTTTTGGTCTCCACCATCTTCCCACTTAGTTTGTTCCAACCGTCTACCACTGTTTGCAAAAGTGAATTTTCAAATATTTTTTCAGCATCTCTGTTTTCTTTGTTTGAATCTGTTTTCTTTGTTTGAATCTGTGTCCTCTTGTTCTTTAAGTACCAGGTCTCTGAAATTCTTCCCTATCAATTTTGTCAATTTCTGTTTCTATTTTGAACAGTGATCATAGTGCCACTTTTTTTCTATCTTCTATTGTTGGCATATTTAATGCCTCTAACCTCTCCTCGTTGCACTCATCTTTCAGTTCCGGGAGCCATTTAGTTGCATGTCTTTGCACCTTCTGCAGTTCGATGTGCTTCTTTAGATATGGGCACCATACAACTGCTGCATATTCTAGCTTTGGCCTCACATAAGTTGTAAAAAGTTTTTGTAGTATTTCACCATCTATGTAAGCAATTCTCAAATTGGAAAGCATAACATAGGCTTCTCACACAATGTACTTTATGTGGTCCTCAGGTGATAGAAAACTATCTAGAACCACCCCTAGATCTCTTTACTAGAATTTTTTTTAAGCTTTCTCACATACAGTAATTTGTAGGCTGTGTGTTGTCTATTTTTTCCTATTCCACATTCCATCATAAGGCATTTATTCAAACTAAATTCCATTTGTCAAGTGGTGCTCCATACACTTAACTTTATCCAGGTCTTCTTAGAGTGGCAGACAGTTGATACCTGCTTGATGGGGTTCTGAGAGTTCTTCTATTCCCTGAGACAAGCCCGAGGCCGGGCTTGACTTGAGAGTTTGGTCCACCAGGCTGTTGCTTTGAGCGCCCTGCAGGCCCACTACAGCCCGGTTTCTCCGGCACTCCTTTGAAAAAACTATCCAGTTTTCTCTTGAAGACGTCCACGGTTGTTCCGGCAATATTTCTTATACTCGCTGGGAGGATGTTCAATAACCATGGACCTCTGATGTTTATACAGTGTTCTCTGATTGTGCCTATGGCACTCCTCCTCTTCACGGGTTCTATTCTGCATTTTCTTCCATATCGTTCACTCCAGTATGTCGTTATTTTACTGTATAGATTTAGGACCTGGCCCTCCAGTATTTTCCCATGTGTATATTATTTGATATTTCTCATCTCCTTTCCAGTGAGTACATTTGGAGGGCTTTGAGATGATCCCAATAATTTAGGTGTTTTATCATGTCTATGTATGCCGTATATGTTCTCTGTATTCCCTCTATTTCTGCAATCTCTCCTGCTCTGAATGGGGAAGGGAGTATTGAGCAGTACTCAAGACTGGACAGCAAAAGTGATTTGAAGAGTACGACCATTGTGATGGGATACCTGGATTTGAAATTTCTCGTAATCTATCCTATCATTTTTCTGACTAATGCAATATTTGCTTGGTCATGCATCCTAAACGTTAGGACGTCAGACATCATTTGGAACAAGTTAAGTGAGAAGGCGGTGGAGGCCAAAACTGTCAATAGTTATCAAAGCGTTATGAAAAAGAATGCTGGAAAGATGGGACACCATGAGCGAAGCTCATCCTGTAACTCTATACTTACGTAATTACTTAGATCATCCATAGCCACCCAAGAAGCTTCTCATTCACACGAGAGTTGAATGTTCAGATGAATCTCAGATGTTCAACACTGTCGCTTTAGTGGCTTTAGGTATTGTATGTACTAGCTCTATCTATAAATCCAACATTATGTTTGTAACTCATCTTCTATGTATGTACTTTTACCTAAATAATCATTTGAATTTAAATTGAATTTGAAAAGTTTGATACCTGGTGCAGGTAAAGCATCTTTGCTAAGTAGACACTGCTCCTCAACCTAGACCACCATGAAAGCAAACAACCACAAATTTTGAAAAATTACTTAAAATATTTATCCATTTTCTTCCAAGCATTCCCCCTCCTTCCTATCCTCAAACTCTCTTAGTTACTCTCTTCACCTTTCTACCATTATCTATTCATTCAACATGCTGATATAATCTCGGTACTTTATTTTTACAATAAGGAGAAAGTGTACATGAAACAGTTCTAAATTACTTCAAACATATGATGCGTACAGTAAATGGAAAAACAAGCAAAATTTTAAAATTAACAATGGAAAAGATATCAAACAGAGGACAAAAGTGTAGGTCAGAAATTCTGTAAAGACATCAGGTATGAAATGGTGATGTAGCACTAGTGTTTTCTAACCATTGGAAAAGACCAGCCAGTTGCATGAACGTGTATTCATACAAATTCATGATAATAACGGGGCAATAATAAGTATATTGGTAAAATTATCTATATTGTTTTATTATTAAATAATTTTTCAGTTTGTCCCTTTTAAACATAACCAACTTTTTATGAGCTACCTCAATTTTGAGTGATACTGAACGACCTTACCTGACTTTTCCTAACCTTACACCGGACTCACCTTGAAATACTTGCCCTCCACCACAACACGATCATCCACCACTCGCACCTGAAGATCACTCGGGCTGAAGTCCTTCACATCCATTACGGCCTGAAAGAGTAGCAGTGTGGGTCTCCATACATCTGAATAATTTTCAATACTTCAGCTTAGTACAGTACTAACTAATAACTTCAAATAATTCTCAGGAACTTAATGCTGTCACTTAAAACCCTTCATGTGCACACGAATATCATTTCACTCCCTCCCTCTGTACAACATTGTACCATTTTAGATCGGCACTCGAACGGCCTTTTGGAACCAATTAAGTTTGAGTACCAAGGTTTCACTTTAGAAATTATTAAAATTAAAAGACCTAGAAATCAATCATCATTACAGGTATTTACTTTTAGACCAAACGTTATGCACAAATTCTGGAGAGGATTCTTATTTATCTTATTTAACAGTCCAAAACTCACTATGTAATATGTGCAGAGCAATTTTTTTTAGAATATCAACTTTTTCCATTCCCACTGAGATATACCTGAGGAAGGGAGACATTAGAGAAGGTTCTATTCAGCTCAAAATGATGTTCAGAAGATTCATTCATGTTTAGTCAGAACCTTTGCAAACATTAATCAACATCATATGGATAGCAATGAACACTCACTACATCATTAAACATGTGGGCCTATTTATTTTCATTAATAATAAATCATCAGGGTAGAAAAGCTTCTTTATTAATAATTAACTGGCTTTTCTACCCTACTATAAGATCTGAGAGATACCCATGACCTAAGGTGCATTAAAGTACTGTTAATTTTGAACCAGCTCCCTATCATTAACTGTAGTGAGTCAGGAATGATTACTAACTTGGCATTTGCATAATAATTCGTACAGAATCAGCATAGCATCTTCATTACCTCATAGCCTGAGCTTATCTTTCTCGTGAAAAATTCACCGATTCCTGTAACCTAATGCTGTGACTACACAGCCAACA